CTGCGATCACAGGCGCAGGGACACTGAGGCGCACGTTCACGCGTTCTCAGACCGACGCTTTGTGGCTGCGCGCCCCTTGTTTAGGACTGTGGTGTCCCGCGGTGACCTCGTCCCCAGCCGGGGCGGTCTCGGGTTGGCGTGGAGGGGCATCCGGCCTGCGCGGCAGGGCCCTGGGTCCTGACCTCCCGGCCCCCACAGGCGGGCTGCATGCTCTTCCCCCACATCTCCCCGTGCGAGGTGCGCGTGCTCATGCTGCTCTACTCGTCCAAGAAGAAGATCTTCATGGGCCTCATCCCCTACGACCAGAGCGGCTTCGTCAGCGCCATCCGGCAGGTCATCACCACCCGGAAACAGGTGCGCGGGGAGCCCGGGCCCGCCAGGGGCCCTGTAGGCGAGGCTGTGAGGGGTGGGGGGCCCCGACTGAGGGAGGGTCCCGGCAGGAGGGAAGGGACACTCGTGTTGGAGCCGGAGGTGGGCAGGCGGGGGCCTCGTCATGGGGAGGGGAGGGGAGGGCTGGTGTGAGGCTCCGGGAGGCGACCATGTGTTCTGGGGTACGCTGTACTAGCGATTCGTAGTGTCCCTTTCTCCTAGAAGCGTCCCAGTTTGTGCGACAAATCCTCTGGTTGCCCGCTTCTTAGAGGCAGTGCTCCTGGGCTCTGTACCCCGTCCTGAGGGGCAGGGCCGGCCCTGGGGAATCCTCTGGGGCTGTGGACAGACTGGGGGCTGGGAAGCCAGGAAGAAGGCTGGGGCGAGGGTCTTCTGGGCAGGCCGGGCTGGGCAGGGTGGGGGCAGGGAGCAGAGGAAGGGTTGGGAGGGGCTTGGGACAGCATCGAGGTTTCCCAGAAGCCGCCTCTGGGGAGCCCCTGGGCAGCAGCCCCCGCCCCCGTCTCTTCCCACAGGCAGTGGGACCTGGGGGTGTCGCGGGCCCGGTCCAGATCGTCAACAACAAGTTCCTGGCATGGAGTGGAGTCATGGAGTGGCAGGAGGTGAGCCCTCGGGTGGCCCGGGAGACCTTGCTGACTGCAGGTGCCTCTCACTCCTGACTGTCTCCCTTCTTCCTCTCCCCAAAAGCCAAGGCCTGACCCCAACAGTCGGTCCAAGCGGTGGCTGCCGTCGCACGTCTACGTGAACCAAGGGGAGATCCTGTGAGTGTCGGGCAGGGGCAGAGGTGGTGTCTAGCGAGACCTGGCCTCCTGACCCTGGTCCTCCCGTGCCCCGCAGGAGGACTGAGCAGTGGCCGAGGAAGCTGTACATGCAGCTCATCCCGCAGCAACTGCTGGTGAGTGGGGAGGGGGCAGTTGGCCTGCCAGGTTGGTGTGACAGGAGTTGTTCCAGACCTGGGGGCCGTGGGGCTGCCGAGGGCACTTCCTTAAGGAGACCCTTGAGTTGCCAGGGGGAGGAGGAAGAGGGTGTTCGAGGTAGAGGACAGCACATGCAAAGGCCCTGTGGCTGGAGGCCACCTGCCCAGCGTGTGGAGGCAGGTGAGGGCAGTGGCGGGGGATCCCGCAGGCCCAGCTTTGAGGGTCTCAGGGCCTGTCTGGGGGTGTGAGCTGGGCCGCCATGTGGGGAGGAAGGAGGCAGCAGTGAGGCTGTGGGCAGCCCCGAGCTGACGTCTCAGGGAGCCGGCCCTCGGCTTCCCCGCAGACCACGCTGGTACCGCTGTTCCGGAACTCCCGCCTGGTGCAGTTCCACTTCACCAAGGATCTGGAGACGCTCAAGAGCCTGTGCCGGATCATGGACAACGGCTTCGTGAGTGGGCGGGGCAGAGCGGGGGGACGTGCGGCTGGGACGCACAGAGTGGGGTCCACTCAGGTGTTTAAAAACCAAAAGGAGACAAACCAGTGATGGTTTCCCCAAAGCTGGTTAGGGAGAGAGCGGGGGTGGCCCACGGCGTGGCCTGTGTGCCCTGTGCCTGGACACGATGGCCCCCCGGGCTGTGACGCCCTTGGGGCTCTGGGTGGGAGGTGGGGGACCCTGTTTTACAGATGGGGAAAGTGAGCTCAGAGGCAGTGCCAGCAGGGGCCGGGCGGGGGCTTGATCCGTCTGGTGTGGGCCTGGAGGGCTGATGTTGCGAGTGCCGACCCCGGGCTCCCAGCTCCTCACACCACCCCCTGCCCCCTCCCCGGGGACAGGGTTTCCCAGTGGGAGCCCATGGCTCCTGAAGGCCGTGCTCTGGCAGGGAGGTCTGTCTGCCTCCACCCTGAGCTCTTACGAGCGCCCAGTCCTTTCCTCTGTCCCGGCCTCAGTTTCTCCATCTGTGAGGTAGGGAGGGCTGGACGTCGGGGCTTGTGGAGCTGTGGCCAGCGCTGTCCAGTGTTGGGGTGTTTGCTGGACCCAGGTAACCTGTGTCCCTGTCACCGTCTCTCCATGCGCTGAAGCCATCAGAGCCGTGTGGTTGTGCATCTGAGGGGCAGCTTGTGTATTTTTTTGGCGTTAAAAAAGTTGAGAAGCATGGAGTCCCTCAGCGAAACCTGTAAAGGCCCGGGTACCCTGGCCGGGCCTCCCCTGGGCTCACGCGGGGCCCCACGTCAGGCCACTGTTGGCCCAGGTGGGTGCGGCCAGGCGGGTGCGCCCTGAGGGCTTCCTCCCGGCCGCCTGAGGGTCCTTGAGCTCTCAGCCTCGCTTTGCCCACCTGTGCAATGGGCCTGGTGACGCCCAGGCCGCGGAGAGGGAGTAGCCGGGGAACGGAGCGGGGAACACTGAGTCCACCGCCCTCTTGTGACTCGGAGCCGCACCCCGGGCTGTGGTGATGCAGCTTGGCCGGGCGGGAGGTTAGTGGTCAGCGCGCTGCCCTGGCTGCCTGGGGGCTGCACGTGGTGGGGGAGCCCTAGTGCCCAGCTTCCTGGGCCGGACTGGCCCCTGCGCATGTGTCTCCCAGTGTGGCCTTTGTGTGTGGTCATGGCTGACCCTGCCTGCTGCGGGCCAGGTGCTGTTTCCAGGACGTTCTGGGCCCCATCGGGCGGCGGTGGCACTGCTGGCAGCGGGCGCCGGTCTCCTTGGAGAGTCGGAGCGGGCTCCTGGGCTCCTGTGCACAGCCCCTGGGGGCACTGGGCAGCTGTCTCTGGGCTTCTGTCCCTTCGTCCCCAAATGGGAGCAGTAACGGGCTGTGGGGACAGAGCATGCTCTGCGGCCAGCTGTCGGAGGGTGCGGGCCCCCGTTTGCCTGTCGCAGTGGGAGGAGCGCTGTGCCGGGGCCGGCCCGTGACGCCAGCTCTGCCCGCCAGGCCGGCTGCGTGCACTTCTCCTACAAGGCGCTGTGCGAGGTGCGCGTGCTCATGCTGCTCTACTCGTCCGAGAAGAAGATCTTTATCGGCCTCATCCCCCACGACCAGAGCAACTTCGTCAACGGCATCCGGCGCGTCATCGCCAACCAGCAGCAGGTCCTGCAGCGGAACCTGGAGCAGGAGCAGCAGCAGCGAGGGGTGAGGCAGGGGGAGGAGGGAGGAGGGGTGAGGCGAGAGGGGAGGGGAGGTTGGGGGCTGGGCAGGGGGCCCTCTGGCCCCGCTCCTCCTCCCCTGCTGACTCCTCCCCTTCCTTCGCCACAGATGGGGGGGTAGTGGCACCCCCAGCTGGGCCCCTCCAGGAGTCACAGACGAGGCCCCTGCCGAGACTGGTGAGTGGCAACCGTGTCGAGTGCAGGCCAGACCCTCGGACGTGCCGGGGGTTCGGGAGGAAGGATCGTGACCCTGGCCTTGAGAGACCAGTGGAGAGAGGGGCCCGTCAGCCCCTGTATCCCAGGCCTCATGGGAAACCCCAGCCCCAGCCCCACCCACCCACCCCCGGAGACAACGCAGCTGGGGTCTCCGGGCTGGGCAGGGGCCTCTTCCCCCTGTCCCCGGGGCCCTGGAGGCTCAGAGTCTGTGGGGGGCCCAAGGGCTCCTGGGAGCCCACGTCCAGCCCCTCCCGCCATCCCCCTGCCCCCAGGTCAGATGCTTCTGAGCAGGGGCCCCTGGGGACTGCAGCCGCCCAGCGAGATGGAGGACAGAGTCCTGAGATGTCTCCAAGGACGGTCCCCACCCCTGTATGTTTCCCCAATAAAATCTTTTAAAAGCCCCCGGTCCCCGTGCTCACTGTGCCGACGCCGTGGCTGGGGACGCCTGTCTCTCCAGGACAGTGGTCCTCAGCCCTGAGTGCCCTCGGTCCCGGCAGGCTGATGGCCCAGCCCTGCCTGAGCTCGGGTCCAGCTGGGCGGGCCCTGGGGGCGTGCGTCTCTAACAGACTCCAGGGGTCTGCCTTAGGGACCGCTGTCTGAGCTGGGAGGGGGCAGCGCACAGGGAGCTGCCAGTGACCCAGCTCGGGGCCTTCCCAGGCAAGGGCTGGGCAATGGGGCCTCATCTTCAATGAGGCCTCCAGGGCTGGCTGTGCTCCGAGGCCCCACTTCCCGGTGCTGCCTGCCCTGCTGCTCCCCGGCTCCCGTGGGTTCAGGGGCCGCGCTGAGCTGGACGCAGATGTGGATGAGGGCGGTGTTTGACTTGGGGTCGGCTCGAGCTGCAGGCCCTCCCAGCTGCGGGTCCGGGCCACAGCCCGGGTCAAGGCTAGTGGGCAGAGCTGCTCGCTTCTCACGGGATCTGGGCTCAGGCTCGCCCTCGGGGTCGCACACCTGGCCTCGCCGAACCGCGGGTCGGGTCGTGCAGACTCGTGGCTGGCTCTGCAGCGGGGCCCTGCCCCCGGGGCTCCCCAGCCTCTGTCTGGAGCGCCAGCAGCCGGGCCCTGAGAAGCCCAAGTCTCCTCTGCAGGGGGCGAGGTTGGCCCCGAGGTGGGCCGAATGCTTAGCTCGAGACAGAGCCCCCAACAGTGCCCACCCCAGGATCCCAGGACACCCAGCCTCCTGGGATGCCCCCCCCCGCCCCCCCGGGACCCCCCCCCCCCCCCCCAGCCGGCAGCTCACTGGGGCCTGCCCTTGGCTGGGCAGACCACCCTTCTCCCCAGCAAAATGCTGGCCCAGGTTAAAGAAAAATAGCATTTATTGAGGGGTGGGGGGTGGAGGGTGGGGCGTGGGGCGGGGTGGGGGCGGCTCAGCCCTCAGAGAACTGGCGGTACAGGCGCTCGAGCTGCGGCTCCACACGCAGCCGGAACGGGATCTCCAAGATGGCCGAGAAGCCCTCGGCCAGCGTCGGCGCCTCGAACTGCTTCCTGGGGGCAGAGGGGTGAGGGAGGCGCCGCCTGGCCCAGCCCGTGCCCCCCGGCGCTGCCGCTGTGACCCTGCCTACCTGTAGCCGTACATGACCACGTCGGTCACGGGGACATGCGAGGAGCCCGTCATCTCCCGGAACTGCGGGGGGGCGGAGGTCAGGCTGGCCTGGCCAGTGGGTGTCAGGGGGAGGTGGGGGGGGGCGGGCGGCTCACCCGGTTGTTGTGGCGTGCCTGCTCCAGGGTGGCACTGAAGAGGAAGCAGCGGCAGGGGACGCCCGCGTCCCGGGCACACTTGATGTACCTGGGGGCCGGGAAGGGGCCGGCTGGTAAGGGGCCCGGGCCCACCCCACAGAGGCCACCCAGGGGACCCTATACCTGGCCCGGCTCGCGGGGTCTGGGTTTGTGTTGTCGATCACGACGCGTTTCCCTTGCTTTAGAGCTGTCTCACACATGGTCACGCAGCGCTGCCACGAGCCCAGAGTGTCCTAGGGACGGGGAGCAGACAGACGGGTCAGGAGAACCAGAGAGGGAACGGGTCAAGAGAAGGTGGACAGGGATAGATAGATAAGGGGGAGCAGAGACCCGGAGGGAGGAGACAGGTTTAGTCCAGAGACCCGCAGTGACTGGGGAGGGAAGCGGGGAAGGGGACAGGGACTGGGGACATGGGGGGGGCTTCTGGCCTCAGCCCGGGGCTGCAGACAGCCCTACCCTGTTCACGTGGACGTATCCGGCTGACACGAGATGCTCCTGGAGGAAGGTGGACTTCCCAGCTGTGAAGGGGGCGGTGTCAGTGGGAGCCCGGGGACTGGGAGTGAGGCTGGGGCTTCTGGAGGTCAGGGGTCAGGGCGTCTCACCCCCAGGAAATCCCACTGCGACGACCACCTCGGGGTCGGAGCTCAAGAGGGAGCTGGACTCAGGGAGGCAGAGCGGCCCGGAGGGGGAGATGGTCCTCTGGCAGGGGGGGGACATGATGAGTGAGGACCTGGGGTGGCCCGGGTCCCCCTGACTCCCCCCCATCCCACCCAGAGGCCTCACCGGGTCAAAGGCGGGGAGCTCGAAGCTGGCCACGGGCCACTTCAGGAAGAACTCCTCTGGCGTGGCGAAGGGCAGGCCAAGGTTGAGGGCAAACTGAGGGCGAGGGCGGAGGTCAGAGAGGGTGGGGGCCGGGCTCCGGGGGGCGGGGGGCAGAGGGCCTCACCAGGCGGTCGGCACAAGAGAAGTCTTTCTTCTTTCGCCCAGGGGCCCAGTTGGCTGGGCGTCCAGCTGCGTCTGGAACACACGGAGGGCACGCCCCCGTCTCCACCTGCACCCTCAGGGGCCCCAGTGCCCCCACATCAGCCCCGAGGATCCACACACTCCCCCCACCCCCGGGCCCTTACCTCCCACGAAGACGCTGTCCCCGATGGAGATGGGCACGCCCTCGTTGGCCTGGGGACAGGTGACACACAACAGGCGTAAGGAACCAGCTCCCACATCTGCTCCCCCAGAGTGCGGGCGGACGCCTTCCGCGGTCTGTGCCCTGCGTCAGGCCATCTCCAACCTTTCAGGCCCCACACCTGACCCATCAGCAAATTCTCTCGGCCCCACCCTGGGGCCACTTCTCAACCCCTTCACCGCCACCACCTCGATCCTCGCCACCAGTGTCTCCCGCCTCGACTATTCAGTCGCTTCTGGCTGGTCTCCCGCTTCCGCCCTCGTCCCCGGCTGTTCCCCATACGGCCACCAGAGGGCACCAAGTCCTGGCCCTCGAGGCCTCACCCAGGCAGACCCCTGCTCGCCCTCTGGCCTCGCCTCCGCCCTCTCCTGTCACCCACTCAGGTCCAGCCACGCGGCCCCCTCACTTTCCCTAACACACCGGCTCGGCCCTTTCCTCAGGGCCTTTGCACCTGCCGGTACTCCCACGGGACGCTCGTCCCTAGATGCCCACATGGCTCCCGCCCGCCCCGACTGCAGAGCTTCCCTCCGATGGCACCGCAGAGGCCTTCCCTGCCCTCCCGAGCTGGAACGACACCCGCCTCGTCCTGCTTCACCCCCTGCCCTACTGCTCCCATCAGTCTGCGGTTACAGTCCGAGCCCTCCCTGCTCGGGGGGCGCCCGGGAGCCGGCGGGTCTGTCCTGTTCACTGATATCTTCAGCTCAAGAAGCTGTCGAACTTCAGAACGCACACACGAATGACTGTCAATCAATGAGTGATTTCTCTCTCTCGACCACTCTGGTTTTCAGTTTAAGAGCACTGGCCTCACGTACCCACACTAGGACTTGACGGCTAAAAACAGAGACGGCGAGGAGGGGAGAGGCAGAGGGAGGGGAGAGGGAGCCCGAGGACCAGCCCCCGGCGTGGGGAGGGCGGGCAGGGCACCGGGCCGCAGAGAGAAAGGAGCGTGGGGAAGCCCCGCTCACCTGCTCCCGCAGATGGTCCCACATGCCGATCACCGGCTTCCGGTACAGGCCGGCGTGCGTGGCCACCAGCACCTGTGGACGGGGGCCGGACACCGTCCTTGGCTCCTCCTCAGGCGCCCAGAGCCCTTCAGGGGCACACGGGTCCCCAGGATGCTCCCCCAACCCTCGCCGATCCAGGAGGGCCCCCAGTGCCCCAGAACCCGCCGCTCATGATGGGCCCCTGTCAGTGTAACCCACCCGCGGCCCCCGCCCCACTCACCAGGGTCCCTGCTCCGTCCTCTCTGAGGACGGTCCCTGTCCCCAACACAACCCTTCAGCCTCCCTTGCAGCCGTACCTGAAAGGGGACCCCCAGCTTCTCCAGCACAGCCTCCACCTTGGTCTTGAACTCCTCTGCCGGCAGCTTCCCGCGCCCGATGCCCATCTGGTTGGTGAAGATCACCAGCTGGGGAGCAGACGGGTGTCACCGGGGCCCTCCTCACCAGGGCCCCAGCCTGCCCAGCGGCCGGCCACCGCGCACGCGCACACCTTGTAGCCCTCGGCGTCCAGCTCCCGCAGCTTACGCGGAATCTCCAGGTACAAGATCCTAGGGCGGGCGGGAAGCGGCGAGGTGACCTGGGGCCCGGAGGGGGCCTCACTCACCCCCTTCTCCTGCCTCGTATCACCTCCAGTCACTGGGGCCGGTGGGAAAGACCTTCCCAGACCGTGTGGTGATGAGGGTCCCATCCAGATCAAAGCCGGCCACCTGGCGTCACCCAAGAGAAACAGCAGCAGCGTCACACCTCTGATCGCCCTCGCTCACAGGCTGGTTCACCGCAACCCGGCGAGGAAGGGACTAATTACCACCCGCCCCTTACAGCTGGGGAAACTGAGTCACAGAGAGCCTGTGCGTCTTATGTAAGGATAAGGCACAGCAAGGATATGTCCCCGACACCTGAGTGCAGAGCCTGCAATCTTCACTGTACCGTCTCCCGTTCTTCCGAAGCCCTTAGTATTCCAGTCTTTAAAATGGGGCTCATATCCTATCCCCCCTCCTCCCCTGGCCTTCTCCACCTCAGAGGGCTGATAACCGTGAAAATAAACACAGGAGCTGAGTTTTGTTTGGGTGCTGACTGCCCGGCAGGGACTGTGCCACATGCTTTTCATGGATTTGTCATTTTACTGGCGGGAAGTGGGTCTGAGAGAACGTGGTGTAACAGCATCTGAACTCAAGTCTCTCTGGACCTAAGAAATACTCATCATAGCAGCTCCTGCCAAAAATGTTCACGATCGTTGTTATGGTTACTGGGTGGTCACCGCGGGTCATCAATTCCCCCAGTGCTTACAACAACCCCTGGATATGTCATCAGGACCACTTCTCAGAAGAGTGAGTGGAGGCTAAGAGAGGTTGAGTGACCTGCCCAGGGGCACATAGCAAACCTGGGGTTGAGTCCCCAGTCTGTGGTGGCCCTCACCTTGCCCCGGGGCCTCACGCCAGGTGCCGTGAACACTAGCAGCTTCCCGAAGCTCTCCCAGCCGGGGGATGACTTCCGCATCCGCTTTTTCTGCTGCTCAACTCCCTTCTCCTCGTCTGGGGCCACCGGAGGTGTGCCAGGTGGAGTGTCTGGCTGGGATTCTGCTGTGCGGGCCTCTTCCCAGCGCAGGGTCAGCGGGTGGAGGCCGTTGACCAAATACAGCGTGTCCCCCACCCCCAGAGAGCCCTTGGACCCCGGGTTCAGCACCTGCGTCCCGGCAGTTGAGGGGTTAACTCCCAGCTGTAGAGGAAGAGGGAGGAGCTGGTACTGGCTCCGCCCCCACCGGTAACCTCCGCCAATCAAATATCCCAGCAAAGAACTTGCCTTTCTCCAACTGCCAATCAGACCCCTAAGCCCCACCTCTCCACTGTGTATCACCAATCAGACGTTCGGAAAGGTTACAGGCATCCAGTCTTAACCAATTTAAATGGAGGTGGGTGTTTACCCACTGAAACAGGCCACACCCTCTTCCCGCCCAAAGGGCCTGCTCCCTGCTGGGTTGCGATTTCGCCCCGACCCCACCCCCAGGCCTTGCCAAGGAGCTGGTACCTGCTTCACCGCCACGGTCCGGGTCTCAGGGTCTGCGACCAGCTCCACTGAGGGTTGGGGGTGGAGTTAGGATTAGCATCCTTGTATTATTGCTTCCCTCATCCCTGGGGAGCACGGCCAGCTCCAGGCCACAGGATGGGGCTAAGCACCCGTTCGGGAGGAGGAGCCGTTTATTTCTAAAACTGGTCTATTCTTGGACATGCAGTAGCCAGATAAAGGCCTAAGGACTGCCTGTGACACTGGTCCTCGCCTGGGACAGGGTGGGTGTTTTTCTGTACGGAACTGGCTTCTCAACGAAGAGCGCGGCTGACGCCGGTCCTGGGCTTGGCCCGTCACCGCCCCTCCCTGCTGAGCACCATGCACTTTTCTCCATAGGCTCGGCTCTCTCCTTGACCAGGGTCGGGGCCTGATTCAAGCTTTCACGGTGCACTGTGAGCATCCTTCTCTGCCCAGTGACAAGTGTCGCGGGATTGGCACCATCCCCTCCCCCCCAAGGGGTCTGGCTGGTTCCAGGTCCGGCACAACCTTTCTCTGCCTGTGCTCCCCAGAGGGCCCCTGCCAACTTCAGCCCTGGCTGCACCACGCAGTTCTGCCTGGTGGCCAAGCACGTCCCTTACGGGATCGACCGTCCATCTTTCCCATGGACTGTGTTCCCGCTCCGGAAGCAGGCCACACCCCCTCCAGCTGAGGCCCCGCCCCCGCCCACCTTGGTTTCTGGAGCACTTCCGGTCGGTAACCTGGGTCAGGGGTCCCCGGCCTAGGACCAGGGTTTGCCTGTCCGATGGAAGGAAGATGGGGGGCGCCCCCCCAGGGGGGCTCTCCAGCCAGAGGCGGCCCTGGGCCCCCTCCTCGGCCATCCTGGGTGCCCGCCTGCGGGGAAGCAGGTTAAATAGGTTTGAGTGGCAGGTCGCCCACAGATGTCTGCAGGAAGTCCCGCCTCCTCTCGCCCCCTCCACAGGGATTCCTTTCATCCTCTGAAGCCTCCGGAAATCCCACCCACTCGCCGGCCTGGGGCTCGCGCCGTTTCCCAGGCGACGACGCCCCGCTCCGGCCCTCGGGGAGCCCGGACCCCACTTCCCAGGGCAAAGGCCGAGAATTACCCGCCTCGCCCCGCGCTCACCCGTGCCCGCCGCCCGGATCACCCTCCGCTCCCGACCGGGGAGGGTCCACCCGAGCCGCTTGGCCCGCAGCTCCGCCGGCGGCTCGCTCAGTTCCTGGGCGGACGGAAATGACTCGTCCTCCCGAAGGGGGCGGGGCCTTGGCTCCTCCCACGACCGGAGCCCCGCCCCTACCCAGACCTACAGCCCCTCCGGTCCCTCCGCAGCTCTGACCTTCATCTCTCTTGCTGCAGTGTGAGACTCAGGCCACTAGGCGGGGTGGGTCCTCTGTTCACAGATTTTCCTCTTTCCGCGTTGAACTCTTACTTTCATTCCCTTCGCTGGAGATAGTTACAGCGAGAGGAAGTTCTTTCCCATTTGACGATGACTGTCAGTCGGAGAAATCCCCGCCCCCGACAGCATTCCCCACCCTCAAGGCTGCAGTTTGCTCATCTATAAAGTTGGGATTAATCGTTTCCACTTCGTGGGGTTACTAGATTAAAGGAGTTAATACACGTAAATAACCTGTAACAGCGTTTGGGTGGTAGTTGGTCCTGTTTAAGTCCTGTCTACCGTCAGCACTCCCCCGGGGGTTGTCTGATGGGAGATGGAGATTCTGTTTATTTGACCCAGCCGTAACCTCCGACCAGGTCTTGCGTACTCTAACCTCCAGCTGTCATAAATAAGGCGGGAAACTCCCCGTCCCCCAGCAAAGCCGGAGATCATGTGCGCTCAGGAGACCGATTCCTTAGACCATTCCGATTCTAACACTAACCCTCCCGCGGAGATTGGGGCTCTGTGGTCACACAGGACTGGAATTCTCCCTCCCACCCCGTGAAACTCCGTTTTCTTATCTGTGAAATGGGGACGATAATTCCGACTCCCAGGTTTGCACTGAAAATCAATGAGATGCTGATCATTCGACTTCAGAGAAGGTTTGTTGAATGAACACCCACAGCACATCTCGTACTCATTTGTCAGAGGAAAACTCTTTAATCTCAGAGCGCCCCTCCCAACTCCCGGTCCCCACCCCCCACTCTCTCCCCCACACCAGGGCCGGAGAGTGAGGCCCCCTGCCCCCCACCTTGGGTGGACGAGGGCCCTTTAAGGCACCTGTGGGGGTACGGGGAGAGGGGCGGGAGCTGGTACCGTCCTGGATGCAAGGACGGGCTTCGATTGGCAGGGTGTTGTGGGATGGAACCAATGAGAGGGCGTCGGAGGCGGGGACAGGATTGGGCCATCCCTGAGGTGGCCCCCTCAGGAACAAGTTGTCAGGACTTGGGCAAAAACGACCCTAGCCCCAGTAGTGTCAAGAACGTAAATGTAAGACCACAGGTTAACCCTGGGCGCAGGAGAAGGGCTTGACCACGCCCTCAGGAGGCTGCAGCCAATCAGCTAATGGAACTCAGGAGAGGCGGACGGTAACTCTCGGGAGATTGGTCAAGCCCTTTGGGCTCGAGCCAATCAAGTGAAAGAGCTGCCCGTTCCCAGGCTGGAGGGCCACCACCCAATCCTGGGGCTTGGCTGTGCTCTTTCAAGGGATGGAGCCAATGAGGTGCGAGCAAAGCCCTTGTTGCTAGGCAGAAAACGACGGAGTTGACCCGTTTAGGGTTTACAACTAGCCCCGCCCCGACCGGGGAGCGAGCCAACCCCTTAAGAGAAAGAGTCTGTCGCCGGGCAGAGAGCGGCAAACAGACCAATCGGGAACGGACAGGCCCGCCCCTCGGCGCGGGGTGGGGGCGGGCGCCGGGGCCGGGGCCGTGGGAGGCCCGTCCCGGCTCGGCCTCGGATTGGCGGGCGCCGGGGGCGGGGCGGGGGTGTAGTGTGGGGCGGGGCGGACGCCGGGCCGGGCGGCTCCCTCTCGGGCCTCAGTATTTCCGCTTGAGCTTCTGGAAGTCGCTGGTGTTGAGCCGCGGCCGCGGCAGGTCCCCGAACACCTGCGTGTCCTCGGCCTCCCGCAGCACCAGCGCGCGCATGCTCGCCGCGATGCGGTCCAGGTCGGGCGAGGAGGGCTGCGGGCAGGGGGCGGAGTCAGCGGCCGACCCGGGCTCCGGCCCCCTCCCTGCACTTCTGCCCCCGCGACGCCCACGGCCAGGAGCGCCCTTCACCCGGTCCTGCTCCATGTAGGCTCCTCTGCCCGACTGAGACACCACCCCCTCCAAGAAGCCCTCCTGCCCTTCTCCTCCCCTTCTCGGCCTGGACCGATGTGCAGGCACCGCGGCCTGACCCCCGCCGCTCTAGTTCCTTCTCACGCAGTGAAGTGCTGCTTGTCTGCAGACCACCAAGGCTGTGTGCACCCACAGGGTCTCGCGTCTAAGGATTGGGGTTTGGGACTCACTCATGTTCCCCTCAGATCTCTGCCACCAACTAGCTGTCAACAGGGAACCACCTTCCTAGGTTTTAGACTGGGCTCCGAAAAACGGGACTGATCACAGGGCCTGAGACAGCCAGCACCGTGATGGCTCAAAAAAGGCGACCTGGCCTGTCGCCAGCGCTGTACAGACAGGACCCCCTCCGGGTCGGCCTCCACTGGGGAGGGCTGCTGTCATTCGGCCTGCAGTCTCAGCACCTAGGGCCACCTCCTGTACAGCCCTCATCACCTTGAGCGCGGCCGGGCCCCCAGCAGAATGGGGGGGGCCCCCGACAGAGGCCGGACCTCAGCCCAGCGCTCAGAGGCCTCCCCCGTCCATCCGTCAGCTGTTTCCACCAGGCGAGCAAGGATAGCAGCAGCTGCTGGGCCTCCCAGCTTGCGGATGAGGACACAGGCATGGTAGGGACGGGGAACCATGGGAGCCGAGGCCTCCTCCCTCGCAGGCTAGCTCCCTTCTGACAGGAAGCTGCGCCCCAGTCCCGGTTCTGCCCCTGACAGGCCGAGGTCCCGGGGAAGTTACATGTCCTCTCAGTGCCTTGGTTTCCCCTCTGCTTCAGTGATGGGCGAGGATGGACCCACCCAGGCCAGCCCAGAACTCACATGTAGGATCGTGTGGGAGGAACAGAGGACAAGGGGGTGGGACAAATTCCAGGAGGGGCCAGGAACATGTAGGGTGGGGATGGAAGGTGCTCTGACCCCTCTGAGCCTGCTTCCTCATCTGGGGGGATACCAAAATACTTCTGCCTTGCCCGGAGCAGGGATTCTATAGATGCAGGTGTTTCTGGAAACAAGAGGAGGCTTTCTCTACAAGGCACTGGGACACATGAGGCTGCAATAGTTACAAGTGCAGGGCTCTGGCCAAAAAACCTGCCTTGGGAGGCAGAGGGGAGGACCAATCCTGTGAAGCGCGGCATCCATGCCCGAGGGCTTCCTGGAGGAGGTGGCTCTGAGCCCTTACCACCACCCCCCTCCCCTCCTCCCATGTGCCCTCACCGGCCCATTCTCCTCGTCTGATGACCGCGCTTCCATCCTCTTCTCCTTGAAGGCCCAGACGGGCACGGACACGGGCAGGGACTTGGCGTACTGCTGTGTGGGCAGGGCTGAGGCCGGGGGCACTGAGTAGGCTGGGGGGCCGGCGGGGGTCTCCTCGCTCAGGCTGCCATCTGGGAGAGAGGGTGGACTTCAGCCCCTGTTCCTGCCTTGGTCCCAGCCCACCGGGAGTGGGGACAGCCTGGGACACTCACCGTCTGTGCTCTCAGGGTCCGACTCGCAGAAGGGAGGCAGGTCCTGGAGCGTGGCATCCTCGTCCATCACAAAGAGCCCTGTGGATGGCGTCAGAGGCCCTGCCAGTCGGGTCCCCGCCCACTCCATGCGCCCTGGACTCCCGGCCATCACCACCGCCTCCCCGCTTCCTGTACCGGCCCGGCCCTTGCGAGCCTCGGGGCTTCTGGAATTATTATTCCCTCTGTCTCGAACCCCCTCCCCCTGGTGATCGCCAGACTCAAATCCAGTTTCTAGCGGTCACACCCTCAGGTAAAAGTGACTGACTAGATTAACCTGGAATCTGTAAGATCTGTCTGGGATGGACTTAAAATACAGGCTGAGAGAAATAAGAGGCGATTCTGATCCCTGTTTGACAAATGTGGCCCCAGGGGTTAACTCCCTTGCCTGAAGTCCCACAGCTAATAGTAGTGTCACCGGGATTTGAACCCAGGCCACTGGGCTCCAGAGTCTGTGCCCTTAACCGTCTGTGGGTTTTCTCCAACAGTGAAAAAACCAGCTGTTGTAGTAACAATAACAAGTAATTCCTACTTATTGAGTTCCCCTGCAAACTCCTACTCACTCGTCAAAGCCCTAATGCTCCAGTCCAGTCTCTGGGAAGCATCCAACCTCCAAATTCCCCCTGAAACAGCCAGGTGCTTCCTCCCATGGCTTCCTCAGCTATTGCTTGCATCCCTGACTCCTCTTTAACTCCCATCTTTGTTCCCACAGGCATTAGGCACTCCAGATTTGGAAATGACTCCTGTTCTGCTCATGCCCCCGGCTCATGATGCCCCCTCCCCACCCTACGGCTTCCATGGGGCACCGCCTCATGTCAGACTCTAATTCCTTGGCTAGACTGAGGGTCCCTCGAGAAAAGGGCTGGAGCCGGCTTTGTGCCTGTGCCCAGCCCCTCCCAGCACAGAGCTGGCCCCAGGACACAGTGTAAGGAAACCGAGGCTCAGAGAGGGGAAGCGACTTGCTCAATGTCACACAGCAAGTCAGCCCAGCCAGCCTGGCCCCAGGCTCTTTGAGACTGCAGCTTCCAGAGAACTTCAGGGCTCAGAGGCCAGCAACTCCACCCCTCCAGGAAAACCTGCCGAGAAGGCCACCTGCCAAGCTGTGGGGGCCGCCAGGCCCTGCCCGCTGCGCCTCTCACCTCCGTTATCACTGACGCCCAGCCGCTCCCCAGAGGTCTCGGTCTCTGTCGGCTCGTCCTCGTCCTCCTCATCCTCCTCCCTGGCCAGGGCAGGCCGGGGTGGGCTCCGCGCGGGGCCGGGCGACTGCGGGGCTGGCGGGGG